AAGAAGAAGAAGAAGAAGAAGAAGAAGAAGAAGAAGAAGAAGAAGAACAGGAAAAATAAACACCCCCGGGGACTAGACATCTCTGGAGGATTCTTGGGGCAAGCGCTATTAGGCATTTAGAAACAGTACCTTGAGGGTCGTCTGCAAGTTAAATATTTTTCCCCCTCTGCCATGTAGTGGTAGGGCTTCCTAGAGTTTACTCAACATATTTTTAAAATCTGTTTATTGAGCCGTGGCACACGCCTTTAATCACTGCTCTCCGGAGGCAGAAGCAGGTGGATCTCTGTGAGTCCCAGACCAGCCTGCTCGAACAAGTGAGTTCCAGGCTAAGCCTGTTACACAGAGAAACCCTGTCTCAAAACAACAACCAAAAAAACTAAACCAAAAAAAGTCTATTTATTGATACCAGGTCACTTTCTAAACTCATCCTTCAGCTTCCATTAGCTGAGGGGCAAAGAGCAGTGAAGCAGATGCAAAGATTTCTGCTCAGTACAGTTGATCCGAGAGTCCGGGAGGCATGGCCTCGGGGGCGGAGATTTGGCACGAAGTCCAGGCTCCACCCACCGGGCGGCGTTCGGCTTCTCCCTTCCCGCCCGCCAGGGGTCGCCGTTTGGCTCGAGTTTCTTTTTCTCCAGTGACGAAAACCCACCCCTTTCGTGTCCTTTGCTCTCGCGAGAGAAAGCGCAAAGGCTGTTGGGAGGGATGCGCTGGCTGCAGGCCAGGCAAAATGGCAGCCCTGGAAGAAGAATTCACGTTGTCTACCGCAGTCTTGGGCGCCGGGCCTGAAGGATTCCTAGGTGTAGAGCAGACTGACAAAGCCGACCAGTTCCTAGTGACGGACAGCGGCAGGACTGTCGTCCTCTACAAGGTGAGGGCGGCGAGAGCGGCCGGGTGTCGTTCGCCTCTGTCCGAAGCCGGGGGCGGGTGGCTCGAATTTCTCCTAGCTTGGCAAGGAAAGCCGGGAGCGGGCCTGACAGAGCCCCGTGGTCCCGCGGTGGGACGCGAAGGAGGCTCGGAAGCTGTTTGCTGTGAGGACTGGCATGTTTCTGAGTGACAGGCGGCAGTGTCTCGCTGCACGTGGGACACGCTGGGAACCGGTGCCTCCCCTTCTCTTCTCCCGGAGCCTGACCCAGGGACTTTCTGTCCCCCTGCGGTTTGCTTCCCGAGGGGTCGGGCGGAGATTGAGCGTCAGAGGGTGACAACTGACCGGTAGAAGATGTTATCGCTTCACCCTCCGCTCCTTGCTGTTTTTTGGGTTTGTCGGGAGGGGGTTGACGAGACAGAAGAGTCCTTAGTATTCTGGAAAGATTGGACAGTTCTGCTTAAACACTGCGAAACCCGAATTTGAGAGCTAGAACGTCGCAATCTCGCCTGCATTGCAGCCTGATTCCTGGCCCAGCCCACTTACAACCTTGCTAATTCGAATCATTTAGAAAGTAAGTTTTTAATCTGGCATTCTGAGCAGTTTCTTGTGTCACTAAACAGTTACCCACCTGCTGGGGACAGTCTGCCAACAATCCCCTGTACACTGTTGGTTTAGATTCCCTCAAACTGTTCTGTCTTTAGGCTCTCCGCTGACTGGGCAGTTTCTGCAGAGGAATACAGTAGGTGATGGGAATTGAGTGGACCGGACCCCACTTACACCAACCTGACTTTCCTTGCCTCTGTTCCACCTGTAATCAGTACATTTTTAAATGTATCATTGTTTATAAAAATGTCTAGAATGAATTTGTTTAGTTTTAGTGAAGAGTTTTGGGAATGTTTTGTTTAGTATGAGACCGGTCTGGCTTTGGATTTGCAATCCTTCTGCCTCAACCTCCCCAGAGCTGAGGCTACCACCATACCTAATTTTTGCTTGTGTGTTGTTTTTGTTTGTTTGTTTTTAAAGAATACGTTTGTCATCATAACCGTTATTAAGTGTACATATAGTGAAGTGTATTTACATTACCTATTTACATTTGCATTAGTGTACAGCCATCACCCGTATCCATCTCCAGAACTCTTCATCTTATAAAACTGAAAATCTGAACACATTAATAGTTCGGAGGGTTGATGGGGTAGCTCAGCTGATAAAGGCACTTGCCACCAAGTCTGATGACCGGAATTCGGTGCCCCGAATCTACATGGTGGAAGGAAAAGGTCTGACCCCTGAAAGTAGTTCTCTAGCCTCTGAACTCATATATGTGTGTGCATACACAAATAAATACATACATACATGTAATTAAAAATACATAGTAACTCTTCATGCTGGAAGTTGAGGCCTGCCTAGACGACACAGAAAGACCATCTCCAACAAATAAAAAATAACTATTCCTCCAGCCCCTGGTAGCCCACTCTGCCAGTCTTCATTGTTTTAATTTAGGTACTTCATAGATTAGGAATCGTGTTCAGTACTGTCATTCGGTAGCTTCTTGTCTTGTTTGGTACATCTAATTGTTCTAATGTCTGAAGCTGAAGACTTGAATTTTGTATTCTTTCTCCAGGTTTCCGATCAGAAACCCTTGGGCAGCTGGTCAGTGAAACAAGGTCAGACTGTGACATGTCCAGCTGTGTGCAACTTTCAGACCGGAGAGTATGTAGTGGTACATGACCATAAGGTAAAGTTAAAAGTGTATTAGTGTGTGTAACATGTAAATAGGCTATGGAGTACTAATTAAAGTGTACTTTGACTTTAAGGTTTTGAGAATATGGAATAATGAAGATGTAAACCTGGATAGAGTATTTAAAGCTACGGTGAGTCTTTATGCTTTCTGACATATTTAATTCTTGGTGAAATGGAATAACTCGTAATCTCACGTTTGTTATTTATTATATTGCCTCTGGGCAAAGGAGCCTATGACTGTAGAGAGTTTCCCCTTCCAGCTGTTTTCTTATAGATCATGATAACTATCTCAGCTCACCTATGAGTAGATTAGAAAATGCGGCTTTATTATCCCATAAAGACTGATGGTTTAAATAGTTCACGAACGGGGCTGGAGAGACGACTGTACAGTTAAGAGCATTTGATGCTCCTGCAGAGGACTGGAATTCAGTTCCCAGCACCCACATGATGGCGCACAACCACCTGTAACTCCACCTGTAAAGAATCTTGATGCCTTCTTGGGCCTTTGTAGTCTTCTGCCTGCACATGGTGCACACACATATACATACACATAAATGTTTTAAAAAATAAGTAATGATTGGAGTTTGGAATAGACCCTACAAAGTTTCTATATTGTACATTTTAAGAGCAATATGTAATAACCTAAAAAAGAACAATAATTAGGTATTTATATTCTGCTAGTGACCTAAAGTGTGCTGATTTTTCTCAGTGATAAAAATTAGGATCTCAAAAAAAAAAACAAAACATCTCATGCTTTTTTTTTTTAATGAGCATTGGTATTTTGCCTGCATATCTACCTGTGTGAGGGTGCCAGATCTCCTGGAACTGGAGTTACAGACAGTTGTGAGCTGCCATATAGATGCTGGTATTGAACCCCCGGGTATTCTTGAAGGCCAGCCAGTGCTCTTAACCATTGAGCCATCTTTCCTGCCCCCATTAAAAAAAATGATTTATTTATTTGTATTTTATGTGCATTGGTGTATTGTATATATGTCTGTGGAAACATCAGATCCTCTTCAACTGGAGTTACAGTTGTGAGCCACCTTGTGAATGCTAGGAATTGAACCTGAAACCTGGAAGAGCAGCCAGAGCTCCTAACCTCTGAGCCATCTCACCAGCTAGCCCTTGGTGAATACTTTTCATCTCAGCACCCTGGAGGAAGAGATAGGCAGATCTCTCTGAGTGTGAGGCCAGTGTGGTCTATGTAGGAAGTTTCAGGCCAGCCAGGGCTATGTAGTTAAACCCTATCCAAACTAATTTCTATTTCTAAATGTCTAACCTACAAAGTAGTGTGTGTGTGTGTGTGTGTGTGTGTGTGTGTGTGTGTGTGTGTATAAAATAATTGATGCATTTTGGGTTAGAAAGGTGGCTCAGTGGTTAAGAACACTGGTTCTTCTTCCAGAGGACCCTGGTTCAATTTCCAGCACTTACATGGCAACTCACACTGTCTAATACTAGTTTCAGGGCTTTTGACATCCTTACACAGACATACATGCAGGCAAAATGCCAATGAACATAAGCTAAAAGTTAGTTATATGTAATTGATAAGTTTTAGAATCCTGAGTGGACTAATTCAAGTCCAGTACTAATTCAAGTAGTGCCGTCGCATAGACTCTTGAACTTCTGTGTTGTTTCCTAAGAATCTGGAGATGTTAGCTATCTTTCTCACCCTTTGTTAGGCTTGGCAGCCAGAGCCTTTCCTATCATCTCACCAGATGATTTTTTGATTTATCTTTTCACTGCCTGTGGGGCTGGGGGTTAGCTCAGTGGTATAATACTTGCCTAGCCTGTCTAAGGCCTAGGTTCAATTTACAGTATTAAAGTGGGACAGACACAGGGTGGTGGTAGACTGTTAAAGATAATAAATCTTGATGGGCAGTGGTGGCACACACCTTTAATCCATAACTCACGGAGCAAAGGCAGGTGGATCTGAGTTTGAAGCCAGCTTGGTGCGTGTGTCAGTCTGTCTCTACCTATGTCTGTAGTGTCCCGTCCCTGCCCCCCCTCCCTGTCTTAACTGTGTAAGACTGACCTTGCCTCTGCCTCACAGGTGCTGGAATTAAAGGTGTGCCCTCCATAAATTAGTCTCTTAAGACGTCTTTTAGGTGAGGTATGATGGCACATGCTGGTAATGTCATATAATGTCACTTGAGAGGCTACAATCATGAGTCCAGGGTCAGCCCAGACGACAAAGCTAGACACTTTCTAAATATTCGGAACACTCTTTCCAGCTGTCGGCCGAAGTCCATAGGATCCACTCAGTACAAAGAACAGAACCACTGGTGCTGTTCCGAAGGGGTGCTGTTCGTGGGCTAGAGGCCTTGCTTACAGAGCCTCAACAGAACATTGAAGCTGTCATTCCTGATGAGGAAGAGATCAAGTAAGTTCCAGTGCTTGTGTATGAATTTCTACCAGAAGAAAATGTGCTCTGCATTACTTCACTGCATTCTTTACTATGTTTAAATGTGGTTTTGCTTAGAAACATAAAGAGCTGTGATATAATTCAGTGTATCCCTGCCTAGCATATTTGAAGCTAGCATTAGTCCCTGGAAAACCAAGACAGAATTATCCTAAGTAAGTCCCACTTACTGTTGGATATAGTACTAGGGAGACAAAGGCAATCAGAGCTCTGATTTGAGGCCAGGCTGGTCTGCATAAAAGGTTCTAGGCCAACAGGAGCTACATAGTGAAACCCTTGCTTTAAAAACAAAACAAAACAGGACTGGAGAGATGGCTCAGAGGTTAAGAGCACAGACAGCACTTCCAGAGGTCCTGAGTTCAATTCCCAGCAACCTTACACGGTGGCTCACAACCGTCTTTAACGAGATTTAGTACCGTCTTCTGATATGCAGGCAGAACACAGCATACATAATAAATAAATATTTAAAAAAAGAAAAGAAACTGGACAGTGGTGGCACAGGCCTTTAATTTCAGCACTCAGGAAGCAGAGGCAAGTAGATCTCTGAGTTTGAGGCCAGCCTGGTCTGCAAAGCAAGTTCCAGGATAGCCAGGACTGTTACACAGAGATACCCTGTCTCAAAAAGAAATAAAGAAAAAGTAAAACAAAGCAAAAACAACATTTAGGAGACACTCAACAAAGTCTCCAGGAGCCTGTGAACCTATGAGGTCATAGATGATGTGGAAACAACCATAATCCCGATCAAAAGTCAGAGACCTGAATAGTCAGCTATTTCTGGATTGAATGGATAAAACCAAAAGTACAAGCTCTTTGGTTCTGTCATATTGCCCAACTGCCGAGCCACGGCCCTTTCCCCTGAAGAGACCATTCCTCGGTAGCAAGAGGTGATGGTGGTGCTTGCAGGCCTCTGCTTTCATAGGCTCTGGACTGATGGTGAATAAGGAGCTCTTTTGTGTGATGGTCAGACAGTTCTTGACTCCCCATCTTACCCTTGCTCATCACTCTGTCACATTTCCTGTTCATTTAACTCATGGCCTCTACCTAGTACAAACTAAATTCCTGAAAGCAAAGGCAGTGCTGAGCAAGTGAGCACGTGGACAGCTGTTTCTAAGATTGACCCGTGCATTCCTCTAAGGTGTGAGCAGCTGTTCAACAGTGGGTGACCTTTGGGTTCAAGTCACCACTTTGGCACAGGCTGGCAATGCTGCTCTGGTCATGGGTCTTTTAGCTTCCCTGTGGCTTACTCTCTGTTGCTTGTAAAAGGCAGTTAAGATTCTAATGTTATCCTAAGAATGCTAGTCCCCAAAGTAATTCTGATGAAAGCGGGATGAACTCAGTTTAAGTCCTGAAAGGACTGAAGACTCCTCTCTGCCACAACCTCACAGTTTTCATTATTGTCTGGGAAGTGTAACAACATCCACTATCTCCAGAAATGCATTTGACAAGTGACAACTCTTAACTACTGAAGTAGGGGTTCTCTGTTGTCCTGGCTACAAAAACACCGTAATAGTTATTCAAGTTTAACTGGTAAATAACATTTCTCAACTGATTTTGTGTTTTCTAATTTTTCTTTCTTTTTAAAAGGTGGTCAGAGTTTTTCATGGTCTTTAAGCAACCTGCCTTAATTTTTATTACTGAAAAAGTAAGTGACATCTTTAATTTCTGGTCTTTGTTACATTTTTAAAGTCACCTTGTTATTTAAAAACTAAAGTGTAATTTTACTATTTTAGAAGGTTGTTTCTTTTGTGACCATTAAAGTGCTAGTTACGACTGTCTGTACCCCTGATTAAACCAACTTTTTTTAGCAGATTAATTCATTAACTTCATTTTTATGGTATAAAAGACCCATGTGAATGAAGCTGGGCAGTGGTGGTGCGTGCCTGTAATCCCAGAACTCAGGAACTTGATGCAGGAGGATGAAGAGTTTGAGGTTAGAAGGGTTACATAGTGAGACACTGTCTGAAGGGACAAGGGATGGGTATGTAGCTCAATGGTACAGCTCTCTACAGTCTTCAGTAGCCTGGAACTCACTGTGTAGACCAGGCTAGCCTGGACTTTATTGCATTTTTCTTGTCTTTGCCTCCCAAGTGCTGGGATTACAGGTTCATGCCACCACACCCAGCCTGGGCAAGCAGCTTTTAAGTATTTATTGAAGTAATTAGAATGGAGCAATAACTTGTCATTTTGACACTTAATTGTAGTTAGTTGGACTGGGAATATTTACAAAACAACTTTTTTCTTGCAGCATGGGAATTATTTTGCTTATGTACAATTGTGCAAATCACATGGCTTAAGCAAATACACACTCTTACTTGGAAAAGAAGAAAAATCTATTAAACAAAATTTTACTGCACGTGTGGATGGGAAATTCATCTCCCTGGTGTCATTGAGTAAGTTTTCTTTAATAACAGAGGTTGTCATGGAAGACTGCTAGAGGGTTGTGTACATTACAGATTCGTCTACAGTGATATGGTTGTTCAAAGTTCTGAGTTATTTATAGATTTGTAGTCTTATAAACATCCTAATACATTTAACTACAGTAGATACAAACTGTCCTTTCCCCATTACTAAACAATAAATACTTGCTTTCCAACAGGCTCTGATGGGTGTGCATATGAAACCTTGATACCATTATATTCAAGTGACACTGAAAACAACCAGAGGTTGGGTAGAGCATTGATGCTCAAGGCAGTTGTGTCTGGTGGTGCTCGAAATGGTGCTACCATCACCATCCTGGATCAAGACCACGTAGCAGTCCTGGGACCTCCGCTTCCAGCTTCTAAGGGTAACTGAAGTCACCTAAGAATCAAACTTAGCTTTTAGCCTCCAGTCTCCATCATCTTTCTTTGTTTTCAGCAGAATCTTTCTATGTAGCCCAGGCTGGCCTTGATGTCAGGATCCTCCTATCCCAGCTTCCCAAGGGCTGGGATTGCGGTTGTGTGCCACTGTGCCCAATGCCATCTTTCAGTTCATGAACTCCTTAATTTCTGCAATCAGAATTTCATAATTTATACTGTACCTTCAGTCATTCCTTCCTTGGTTAAATTATTCCTTTAGATGCTAATAAAATGTTGTTTCCTTTTCAATTTTTCTTTCTAGGCTGTAAAAACACATCTGGTTCTATATGTCGCTCTTTTTTGTTTTGTTTTGTTTTTCAAGACAAGGTTTCTCTGTAGCTTTGGAGCCTGTCCTGGAACTAGCTCTTGTAGACCAGGCTGGCCTCGAACTCACAGAGATCCTCCTGCCTTTGCCTCCCAAGTGCTGGGATTAAAGGTGTGCGCCACCAGCGCCCAGCTCTATATGTCACTCTTATCCCTGCAGCTCTGCTAAGTTGTTTTTTTTTTTTAATATTTATTTATTATGTATACAATGTTCTGTCTGTGTGTATGTCTGCAGGCCAGAAGAGGGCACCAGACCTCATTACAGATGGTTGTGAGCCACCATGTGGTTGCTGGGAATTGAACTCAAGACCTTTGGAAGAGCAGGCAATGCTCTTAACCTCTGAGCCATCTCTCCAGCCCCCCTCTGCTAAGTTTTTTATAGTGCATGTATGTGTGTGAGCTTTGCCTTTGGTCTCAGGGTAATGCTGACTTAATGGAGGGTGAGGACATATTTCTTTAGTCTAAGAGTTTGATGCTGATTTGTAATTGATGGAATTCAATGGAATTCTTCTTGAATGTTGTTTTCATTACAAACTGAGATCTGCTATTGTGACCTTCTAGGGCTTTTCCACTCTTTCTACCTATCCTGTGCCTCACTTGTTTGAATTCCTGTGGCAGTCACTCACTTTTATACATGAAGCAAACTTGTGTATTCACCTCTGCCTCTGTCCTTCACGCCATGATATTAGGTGTTTCTATTTAGGTCTGTTTCTGAACTTTTGTATCTTACATTATAGAATGCCTCTCCATATGGAACATAAAGTTTCAAACATTACAGACATCAAAAGAGCTGCCACAAGGAACCAGTGGACAAGTAAGTTTGATTTTTTTTTATTTTTATTTTTTGTTGGTTGATGGGTTTTGGTTTTGTTGTTTTGTTCAGATTTGAGTTTGAGTTTTTAAGTAAGTTTGATTTTTTTATTTTTCCTTGGTTGATTTTGGTTTTGGTTTTGTTGTTTTGTTCCGGTTTGGGTGTGGGTTTTGCTTTTGGTAAGGTGTTACTCTGTAGCCCAGGGTGGCCTCAGAGTTACAGTCCTCCTGTCTTGGCCTCCTAATTGCTGGAGTTGTGTATGTCTGCCATCATGCTCTTAATTATTTGGGTTTTTATTGAGAATCTTCTGAGGAAAACAAGAATTACTTTTTGGTTTTTCAAGACAGAGTTTCTCTGTGTAACAGTCCTGGCCATCCCATAACTTACTGTGTAGACCAGGCTGGCCTCCAACTCATAGACAGCTGCCTGTCTCTGCGTCTCAAGTGCTGGAATTAAAGATGTGCACCACCATCAACACCTGACTTATAATTTATTTTTTTACTTAAGAGATTACATTTGGTTGAGGTTTTGTTTTAACATTTTCTATATACTTATGACTTTCATTTGTTTTGTTTTTGTTGGTTTGTTGGCTTTTTTGAGGTGTCTCTGTAGTCCTGACTGCGGAACTTGCCCTGTAGACCAGGCTGGCCTTGAACTCTGAAATCCGACTGCCTCTGCCTCCCAAAGGCTAGGATTAAAGGCGTGTGCCACTGTTAACTGGAGTTTCAAAGCACTAAATTATACCTAATTTTAGGTCAGAAGAGAGCAGTTAGTTTGGTTTTTAGCTCTGCTTTCATTTTCGCTCTTTATTTTTGTGTATTAAACTATAACCTAAGGTATTGCTATTCCTAATAAACTGACCTTTAAATGTTACCATGGAACTACGTAAAGAATTAAAATTTTGCAGGACAGTGGTGGTGCACTTTTAATCCCAGCACGCAGGAGACAGAGACAGGTGGATCTCTCAGGTCTTCTTCCAGGACAGCCAGGACTATACAAGAGAAACCCTATGTCTTGGGGAAAAAATAGAAAAAGAATATCTTTTGTTATTCTGAGATAGCTTGTGGAATTTTACTGTTACATGGTAAATTTGAGATAAAGAATCAGACTAGCGAGCAGTGGTAGCACATGCCTTTAATCCCAGCACTCAGAAGGCAGAGACAGGTGAATTTGTGTGAGTCTGAGGCCAGCCTGGCCTACAGAGTGAGTTCCAGGACAGCCAGGAATGCACAGAGAAATGCTATCTCAAAACAACAAAAGAGTCAGCGCATGAGTCCATCAGTGACTGGATGAAGACGGTGCTGTATTATTACATTATGAATGACATGTCATTTGTAGGGAAAGTAGATGGAAGTTTTTAAAAATCAGAATTTCCTCTCATGGCTGAATTTAGACTTAGCTGCGTATAAGACATAAGAGTTTAGCAGAGACAATGGAAAGAAGAGAGAGATTGGGGAGCAGGAGAACGGGTGAGACAGTAAGCAAGGGTCCAGGGAAAGTGATTTTGAGTGTATGTGAAATATAATGAAACCATCATTTGGTACAGTGAATACGTGCTAGTAAAATAAGGTACGGGCCTTTGTAGAGTCAGGTCTCCGGGGGATAGATGGATGGATGGATATGTGTGTGTGTGTGTGTGTATGTATACATATAACATATACATGTATATGTATATGTGTATATGGATACGTGTGTGTGTGTACTGACTTTTTTAAAACTTTTTTTTTTTTCAGCTCTGGTATCATGGGGAAGCATTATTTATGCTGCATGGAAAATGTCTAACTGTGATTCCATACAAGTGTGAAGTGTCATCTCTGGCAGGCGCTCTTGGAAAGCTCAAGCATACTCAAGAGTCAGGTTGGAACCTCTTTACTCTTTTTATCGACACAGACAAATTTATTAGTTCCTGGTTTCTTTTTTCTTTTCTTTGGGTTTTTCTAGACAGGATTTCTCTGTGTATCTCTGGCCATCCTGGAACTCACTGTGTTGACCAGGCTGACCTCAAACTCACAAAGAACCACCTGCCTCTGCCTCCCAAATGCTGGGATTAAAGGTATGCACACTACTGCCTAGTTTGAAGCCCCTCTTAAATTGTGTATAAATTTAAATTGTTTTTTGTTGTTGTTGTTGTCCTTTAATTTGATGATGTTGAGTCAGAATAGTTCAGTAATTTATGTTTTGTGTTTCTGCAGGCACTCATTCCATGCCCCATTTTGTAAACTGGGAAACGTGTTCAGGATACGAACCTGAGCACTACAGTGCAGAGCAGTCAAGAACTGTAAGTTCAGTAGTTGGCTGAGTAATGTTGTTGGGAATGTAAAATTAAACAGGAAGAGCTGGCACTGCCTTAACCCTTCATGTTTGTTTACCTCTCTTTTTTTGTTTTGTTTGTTTTTGTTTTTTTCAAGACAGGGTTTCTCTGTAGCTTTGGAACCTGTCCTGAACTAGTTCTTGTAGACCAGGCTGGCCTCGAACTCACAGAGATCCGCCTGCCTCTGCCTCCCAAGTGCTGGCATAAAGCTTCAGCAGAATTTAAAATCTTTATCTAATACTTGTAAATTTACCTGTTAATTGAATTTAGTTGGTGTTCTTAATTTTTGACTCGGTTTTGTTTTTTCGAGACAGGTTTTCTCTTTATAGTCCTGGATGTTCTAGAACTCACTCTGTAGACCAGGTTGACCTTGAACTCACAGAGATCCACCTGCCTCTGTCTCCTGAGTGCTAAGATTAACAACATGCACCACCACCGCTCAGCTAATTGTTTTTAAATATGTATTTATTTTATGTTTATGTGACTAAGTATATATATGTGCTTTAAATACATGCAGGAGCCAGCCAAGGATGAGAGAGTCAGATTCCCTAGAACTGGAGTTACAGATGGTTTTGAACTGCCATGTGGGTGCTGAGAACCAAGCTCAGGTCCTCTGCAAGTGCAGCAAATGTTCTCACTGGTTATACTGAGCTATCTCTCCATCTCCAGCATGTGTTAATATTTAAAGATGTGTATGTTAATAAACTAAGTCCCAGGTAGGAAACTAGGCCAGTTTTCAATTAGCAGTAATGCCCTTCTGAGTAGAGACGTTTATCAAAGCTGGATGTGGTGACTTGTGCCTCTGATTTCAACACTTAGGAGGCCGAGTAGGGAGGATTGGAAGTTTGAGGATAGTCTGGGCTTCATAATAAGTTGCAGACCAACCTAAATTTAAAAAAAAAAAAAAGTCTTTATCTCATTTCAAAGTTGTAATGAAAGCATTTTATTTACCATTAAGCTTTTTTTTAAAAAAAAAAATATGTGGTTGGGGTAGAGAGATGGTTCAGTAGTAAAGAATGCTTGTAGCTCTTACAAAGAACTCAAGTTTGGGTCCCAGCACTCATTTTAGACAGCTCATAGGTGCTTATAACTCCAGTTCCAGGAGACCCAGTGACATTTTGTAGCTAACTCAGGCATCTCCATTTACATACACATACACTGAAACATGTTGACATATACTTAAAGGGAAAATCTTGAAGCTGCAATCTGCAGAGGTGACTCGGTAGTTAAGAGTTTTGCCTGCTCTTAAAATAAAAGACCAAGGTTTGTTCCCAGCATTCATATGGTAGCTCAAAGCCATCTATAACTCCAGTACAGGGGATCTAACTTCTCTTCTGGCCTCCATGGGTATTAGGCACTTACATGGTACGCTTGCATACATGCAGCCAAAACACGCATCCACAAAAAAATAGAAATAGCTGGGCATGGTGTCTCATAACTTTAATTACAGCACACAGGAGGCAGAGACAAGTTGATCTCTTTGAGTTTGAGGCCAACCTTGTCTACATTGTGAGTTTCAGGACAGCCAGGACTATATAGAGAGACTTGTGTCAAAAAATTAAAGCTAACTAAAATTTCTTTTAGAACAAATCCTTAACATAAGTATTTTTAAGTGTATGGGCATACCAAGTATACTAATTTGTTGTATAGTCCTCTAAATTTTTTATGTGTCTTCTACATTTTTTTTGAAAGCCTAAAATGAATTATTCTCTTACAGCTAAGGAAAAAAAATATTGAAATGAATTTACAGCCAGAAGTTCCAGGATCCAAACAACTTTTATCAATAATAAAGGTAAATTAAAAAAAAAGAAAATTAGAAGTCAGACTGGTGAGATGGCTCAGTGGTAAAAGCACTTGTTTCACGGGCCTGCCCTATTCTGTCCTATCACAGGCCCAAGCAGCTTCTTTATTCATTAACCAATAAAAGCAACACGTATACAGGACTTCCCTTACTGTGTGTGTGTGTGTGTGTTGTAAAATTGAAGTCACCTTGTCTCAGTGGTTGCATGGATCTTCATACTTTGTGTTGTAAAATTGAAGTCACCTTGTCTCAGTGGTTGCATGGATCTTCATACTTTGTGTTGTAAAATTGAAGTCACCTTGTCTCAGTGGGTTGCATGGATCTTCATACTTTGTGTTGTAAAATTGAAGTCACCTTGTCTCAGTGGGTTGCATGGATCTTCATACTTTGTGTTGTAAAATTGAAGTCACCTTGTCTCAGTGGGTTGCATGGATCTTCATACTTTGAAAGAAGGTTGTGCTGGCAAGTTTTGTTTTTTGAAGTTTTTTGTTGTTGTTTTTAAGTTCAGAGTGACATGATGGAGGAGGGTTAACTGTCTATGTGTTACTTTCATTGGTTAATAAAGAAACTGCCTTGGCCTTTTTGATAGGCCAGCCCTTAGGTGGGTGGAGTAGACAGAACGGAATTGTGGGAGAAAGAAAGCAGAGGCAGGCAGACGCCATGACTCTCCTCTCCTAGACAGCCGCAGGTTAGAATCCTCCTGGTAAGCCACCACCTCATGGTGCTACACAGATAACTAAGTATGGGTTAAAGCAAGATGTGAGAATTAGCCAATAAGAGGCTACAGATAATGGGCCAGGCAGTGTTTAAAAGAATAGTTTCTGTGTAATTATCTCGGGTGTAAGCTTGCCGGGATTCGGGTGGCGGGAAAGCAGCCCGCCGTTCCTTCAACAGTGACATTTCTTAATGTATCGGACTAAATTCTTTAATTTTGCCCTTTCAGAAAGGTTCAGAGAAACATATTGAAGTCGAACTGCGTAAATTTTTAGCTAAGTCAACACCTGACTTTCATACTGTGATTGGAGATACAGTAGCAGAACTTCTGGAAAGATGTAAAACAGAGCCATCCTTTTATCCTCGGAACTGTCTGGTGCAGCTCATCCAAACGCGTGTGCTTTCCTACAGGTACATGTGTGTCCCCACTTCATGTTCGGATGCTTTTGAACTTGTTCTTTGTACTTGTGACTTTTTTGTGTGAAAGTAGTTCCCGAGGAGGTGGCTCACTGAGTAAAATGTGAGGACTGCAATTTGACCTCCCCGAACCCACATAAAAAAGTATGGTGGGGGCTGGGCAGTGGTGGCACACGCCTTTAATCCCAGCACTCAGGAGGCAGAGGAGGCATCTCTGAGTTTGAGGCCAGCCTGGTCTATAAGAGCTAGTTCCAGGACAGCTAGGACTGTTATACAGAGAAACCCTGTCTTGAAAAACCAAAAAAAGTATGGTGGGTTATGGCAGCCCACGTAAATCCCAATGCTTGAGAGGTGAAGATAAAACTAGTCAAAACTTCTGACTCTACCTTCAGTGGGACACCCTGCTTGTTGCAGGGTGAAGGGTGATGGAGGAAGCCACTCAGCATTACTCTAGGGCCTCCACAGACACAAGCATACATTTACATGATACTCACTCATAAGTGATCATGTATGAATTCACACTACACACACATATATACCAGAGAGATTGCCACTGAGGTGTGGTAGTCATCTTCATTGCCTTTAGTTTCCTGTTGTGGTAATGAAATCAGCTGCACCACATAGTGGTGCAGCTGTGACTGGACTTTCACAGCTTCCCACGGTGGGTTTGTGCATCCTCTTTACAGGGACCCCAGTCCTGTCACACATTGCCTGGTCTCAATTTTCGCGTCTTTACCCTCAAAGCCATTACTGTATATTAATACTGCTGACTTTGCTATAAGCTCGAGGTGTGACTTGGATCACAGCTACATCAGCTTCTTTTTGCTGACTCTATGGAAACATTTTGCTAAGCAGTTGCATTCGAGGAGCAAGGACTCCTTCTGTTAGACTTTCTTTAAATGAACCTGTATATTTTTGCTAAATAGATCTTCTGAGGGATGGAGTTTTGCCCTTGACAGCTTTCCTATTGTCCAGTGTAGCACAAAAGGTTTCTTGTTAAGAGTGTTGATCTCTTTAACAGTTATAAGTTGTTTCTCAGTAGCAAACTAAATGATCACTTTTGAAATTCCCTCTATGAAACAAACTAGTCTGCTATTGCTCAGGTCAACTTCATGTATGTTATCAGGGTGTGAACAGAATGAAGCCAGATTCTTGGTCAGAATCCCACACAAATGGCCTATAGCCCAGTTCCTTAAACATCTCTTGTTCCACTGTCTGCACTTCTCTCAGCATTGCTGTTTTTAGGGTCCCACCTGAATGGCCTCTTGAGCTCCTTTCAGCACTTAACTTTTCTTGAACCCCAAATACGAAACTCTTCCACATTCTAGCCTTAAAAAGTTCCATCAGCCTGAGAGTCACATAGGTTCCCACAGCAGCTGAGGAAACTAAGACAGTGGTGATGGTACGTGCCTGTGATTGAGACACTTCATGGGTCATGGCAGGGAGAGGATGAGTTTGAGACCAACCTCTTCTTTCAAAGGACCTGGGCTTATTTTCCCAGCACCCACTTGGTGGCTCGACCATCTGTAACTCCAGTACCTGGGACCCAGTACCCTCTTCTGACTTTCATAGACAGCAGGCATGCATGTGGTCATACTGTTTTGTTTTTCAAGACAGGGTTTCTCTGTGTAACAGTCTTGGCTGGCCTGAAACTTGCTTTTGTAGACCATGCTGGCCTCTAATTCACTGAGATCCGCCAGCCTTTGCCTCCCAAGTGTTGGGATTAAAGGCAAGCACCACCACCATCACCCAGCTGTGGTCACAGACTTATATGCAGGCAAAACACTCATAAAATAAATTATTTAGTCAGGTGGTGGTAACACATGTCTTTAATCCCAGAATTTTGGAGGCCGAGGCAGCTAGATTTCTGTGCGGTTGAAGCCAGCCTGGACTACAGAGCTAGTTACGGGAAAGCCAGGGCTGCACAGAGAAACCCTCAAAAAACAAGCAAACAAAAAATTAAAATAATTGTAAAAGGAACAGTGGGCTGCGTTCCCACCAGGATCCCGGCTCCCTGGCTAGTGTACACCTGAAATACTTACATGAAAACTGTACTCATTTAAACACTGCCTGGTCCATTAGTTCCAGCCTCTTATTGACTAACTCTCATATCTTGACTAACCCATATCTAATAATCTGTATGCCACCACGAGGTCGTGGCTTACCGTCTTGGGAAAGGGAATCATGGTGTCTGCCCTTCTTTCTCCCAGCATTCTGTTCTGTCTACTCCACTATCTAATCCTGCCCTATCAAAAAGCCAAGGCAGTTTCTTTATTAACCAATGAAAGTAATACATAGACAGATGACCCTCCTACATCAAATAATTGTTCTTTTATTTAGTTCTGTGTGTGTGTTGTTTTGGTTGGTTGGATTTTGGTTTTCAGGACAGGGTTTCTCAATGTAGCCTGTGACTGTCCTAGAACTGTAGTTTTAATTTTTTTTAATGATTTTTTTTAATTATAGTAATTTTATAGTAATTGTCTCAATTTTGATCTCAGCTTGTGCCCTGGCCTGATGGAGATTGCTCTGGAGCGCACAGATGTGCAGATGTTACAGCTGTGTCTGCAACAGTTCCCTGACATCCCCGAGTCGACCACCTGCGCTTGCTTAAAACTTTTCTTGAGGTAAGTTAAAACCTGTGATCTCATTCTCATGATATCATTGGAATCTGTGACTTATTTGACTTCTAAAATGTTGATTTCTTAGAAAATAAACTTTCAGAGGTTCAAATAATGAGAAAAATTAACCTCTTGCTTTCAATTAACATCGTAGCATTGGTGATGACTGTCTTCGAGACATTAATATCAATATGGAGTCAGTTTTTGATTATAGTGATACCATACAAGATGAAAAAAAGGAAATGGAGGAGCAAACTGAAATTGTTCAAAATGGCTTCAGTCCCGAAGACAGTAGCTGCAGTAAAGACAGTCAGCAGTTAACTAAAAAGCCTGAACGTGAAACAAAGGAGACCGTCTCTTTCCCCGTGACCGCATGTCCTGTGGCCCCAAAGCGAGCGGCTCTGTTGTATCCTTCCAGGTGGTTCCGTTGCTCTGCTGTCAGGGATATAGTTATATGCCAAGCAGTAACTAAGGCATGATTCAGTTTTTTCCTCAGTTTTTTTCAGTGTCTGCTTGAAATGGATTATATTAGACTCTTCTTTCAACTAATTTATTAAACCCATTTTTTTTTCTCTCTCTCCCCTGCCCCATTAATCATGTGTGTATGTTAGAGTAGATGACTCCCATGGTCCTATGCATACTTGTCAAACTCTACCTCCAAGCTACCTTCCATCAACATTGATGTCTGTTTTCTTTGAGGGTTCTTTTGTCATTTAGTTTGATTTAATTTTGTTTTGCGATGTGGCTCACATAGCCTTGGCATCCTCCTTTTCTCTCCTGGAGTGCCACAATCGCAGGTGCATGCCACTATGTCTCACTTGCCTGCTTTCTTTCTTTTTTATTTTTCTTCTATTTTCTTAATTAAGAAGATAGAATACTAAGAGCTAGAGAGATGGCTCAGTGGCTAAGAGCAGTGACTGCTCCTCCAGGGGACCCGGATTCAATTCCCAGCACCCACATAGCAGCTCACAACTGAACTCTAGTTCCAAGAAGTTAAACATCCCTCACATAGACACACATGCAGGCAGAATGCCATGCATATAAAAATAAATCATTAAAAAAGAAAAAGAGGAGTGTTGGCAATTAGACCTCTTGTAAACCAGGAAGTGAACGATTTGTAGCAGGGTAGCCTTTTTTTTTTTTTTTATTGAATATTTTCCTTTAGTCCTGAGTAGAAATGCAGTTCTCCATTCAGCATACAGTGAGACCTTCCTCCTGCCACACCTGAAGGACATCCCTGCAAAGCACATCACGGTAAGTGTTCTGCACAGACTGTGCATTTTATTTCTGGTCTAAATTGTGCTGCTTAATTCTGAGCAACTGGTCGGCCATTCTAATCTGTGGGATACTTTTATATGCATAAGAGAGAGGTCCACATGTGATGAGAATTGCTCCAGAAACCAGGGTGATTTGTGGGTGAGAGACCTTGCTCCAAGGTCTGCCCTGCTGGAAACCAGCTTAAACCATCTTAGGTTGTCATTGAAAGGACTCTTAAAATAACTGAAAAAAGAAGAGAAAAGTTCTCTTTTCTGATCTGTTTTTTATGACCTGAGCTCATTACCCTCCTGTCCTAACTAGAGAGCTCCTTGGTGGTGACAGGGACTCCGTTTTACTCTGTCCCCAGAACCTGTAACATTTGTTTGATGCGTAATTTAATTGAACAGCATCGTAAACGTTTTTCTGCTATCTGCTGGGTTTATTTGTAGAGAACGTTTTCTACCAGATTGGTAAGCTGTGCTCCTGTTTTCCCCTCCCACAGCTATTTCTCCAGTATTTGTATTTCCTCTATCTGAAATGTAGTGGCAATGCCACCATGACGCTTCCTGGAGTAAGCCCTCCAACGCTGAGCCAGGTAAGACAACTTTTGTACAGAAGCCTTGGCGTACAATGTCAGCCTTGTAGTTCTGTAACCAAGATGGGAAGATGCCGCCTCCTCCCTTGTGCACATCATTGGATTGAAGAGGGCTTCTCTGTTCAATAGATGGATTTCTAGATTCATAATTACAGATTACAGAATCCCTAAGTCATCTTTGTAGGGAAGTGTTTCTACAGTATCAAAAAGGTTTCAAAAGTAAACTTTGGGACCAGGTGTAGTGGCACACACCTTTAATCCTAATACTCAAAAGTCAGAGCGGGTGGATCTCTATGCGTTCAAGACTGGTCTGGTCTACATAATGAGTTCTCATAGTGAGAACTTGCCTCAAAAAGCAAGGGAAAAAAAAGATAAACTTTGTATCTCTGCTCCTCCAACCTCTCTTAGAGATAACCAACATTAAAAGTTTCTCTCATGAACTGGGCATTGGTGGCGCACACCTTTGATCGCAGTACTTGGTGGGCAGAGACAGGCAGATCTCTGAATTTGAGGCCAGTCTGCTCTACAGAGTGAGTTCCAGCGCAGCCAGAAAAAAAACCTGTCTCAAAAAAACGAACAAACAAAAAACTCAGAAAAGTATTTTTTGTGTCTAGAAATACTGATTCTAGACACATTCTTCCTGTCTTTGATTTTTGTCTTTCTGATACAAGACCTTTTTTTTATGATTTATTTATCTTTTATTTTATGTGCATTGATGTGAAGGTGTCAGGTCCCCTGGAACTGAATTTTCAGACAGATGTGAGCTGCCATGTGGGTGCTGGGAATTGAACCCGGGTCCTCTGGAAGAACAGCCAGTGCTCTTAACCGCTGAGCCATTTCTCCAGCCCCCTGACACAAGACCTTTAGTGTGTGTGACATTCTGCAAGTTAATTCTTTGTCTCAGTGCTGTGTTGCAGACTTATCTTGGCCTGGTACATCCATCTTTTCTCATCCCCTCTTGGTGCATTGCTTGCATGTTTTGCTACATAAATAAGCTTTAAGTGTTAATCTTCTCATGGCTTTCCTTGTGGGTTTATTCCCACAAGAGAAACACTAAGGGAAGCAGGCATGTGTTTTCAGTTTTCAGAATGCCTTTCCAAAGAGTTGTGACTGGGACTGCTGCCCCTTAGTTCCCACGCGCTGCCCACACCTGCTATTGTTGTCCAACTTCTCAGCCTTGCTAATCAGATAGGAACAGTGTTGCCCTGGATTGCCTTGTGTTTCTTGACAATAGAGGGTGAAGTAGTTTTTCTTGCTTTATTCTCTTTTGTAAGACGGTATTTACTTAGGTTCTTTATCCATCTTTCTATTGTAGTTCCTGTTTGTGGGGAGGTGTTTATAAACGGGTCTTTGTGTATTGAGTTAATTTCTGTCGTTTGTCTTGCTACTGTTTTAGTGTCTTTTTTCGTTTATTATTTGACAGTTCATGTGTTAAGTATACAGTGACTTCAGTCTTTCTCCCTGTTACCTCTCTCTCCCTATTCTGATGAAGCCCTTTATTCCTGAGACATGCCCTTCACATGATTTATTTAGAGGGTGTGTGTGTGACCCACTGAGTCTGATTAGTGCTCCTTCATGAGCATGCATGAAGGGCGTCTTCTAGATCAGGAGCTACTTCCAGTGGCTGTACCACTGGATAAATAGACACCCCTCCCAACATCTGGGAATTGCCAACAGTCAGAGTCCCTTCAGTATAATTTTCCTAGCCAAATTTTAACTTTTGTGCTCTAGGATGCCACCACTGCCTGGCTGTGTTATTTTTGTCTTTTTGGGGTCTCAGCATAGCCCAGACTGGCCTGGGACCCACACCAGTCATCTTCTTCCACCACTGAAGCGCTCAGAGTGCCAATGGGAGACACCAGCAGAGGACACAGCCTTCTACATAAGATGGCTAGTGCTGCCTGCAGAATTAGATCTCACAACGTATAAAAGCGGGAAGAAGATATTTATGCTTCATAGAAGTTACTCCACCTCTAAACTGAATGTTCAGACTTCCATAAGGATTTGTTTTCTAGCCGTGATGGTGGTGCATAACCTTTATTACCGGCGCTTTTGGGAGATAGAGGCAGACAGATCTTTGATCTATGTGGTGAATTCCAGGACAGCCTGGGCTACATAGTGAAATCCTCTTTCAGGAGAGATGGCTCAGCGGTTAAGCACTGGCTGCTCTTCCAGAGATCCAGAGTTCAATTCCCAGCACTTTAGTTGTGGCTTACAACCATCTGTAATGAGATCTGGTGCCCTCTTCTGGGCAGAACACTGTATGCATAATATATAAACAAACACTGTATTCAAAATAAACAAATGAGTAAGTAAAGGAATAAATAAACTAATGAATGATTGAGTGAGTTGTAGTGAGGGCTCGGAGCTGTGGGCAGACCTGCTTTTCGTCCCACCCGGCTCCTGCATAGCTAGCATAGCCCCAGAAATAACAACACACAAATTGTATTCATTTAAGCACTGCCTGGCCCATTATCTCTAGAGAGTTAGTTACTGACTAACTCTCATATCTTGATATTAACCCATTTCTAATAATCTGTGTAATCGTGGTGGCTTACCGGAAAAGATTCAGCATATCTGACCTGGTGGCTGGCTCCATGGCTTCTGCCTCAATTCCCTCTTCCCAGCATTCTGTTCTGTTTACTCCGCCTACCTAACTTTCTGTCCTATCAAGGGGCCAAGGCAGTCTCTTTATTGACCAATGAAAATAACACAATAGACAGATAACCCTCCTCCATCATTTCCCCTTTTTCTGTTTAAACAAAAAAGAAAGGCTTTCATTTTAACATAGTAAAATTACATATAACAAAACAGTTATCAAGCAATAATTACAGTCACAATATTTATAACTATATCTTTATCATAATAATGGAAAATATAACTATGACTATCCATTCTTCAACTCCATCAAAGACTCCAGAAGGATATAATATTACCTAAGTAAACAAGAAGTAAGCAACTTCCAAAACTCTAGAAATGATAGAGACATCTCGCTGCCTGGACAGTCACCCAAAGTTCCTCTGTATCGTTGGGGCATCCATTTTTGGCCTTCAGGTCCATAATATCCAGCAGACATTTTCATAAAGAAGGAAATTTCAAAGGCAATTCAGTCACTATCTGCTGTGTCCTGTAGAATGTCTCGCAGACTCTTTCTTGAATTAGGAACCCCGAAAGATCATTTCACCTTTAGGCAAGTTTAGCAGTCCTCTCTCTGCGGGTTCTCTGTGTCCAGTTTATATAACAGTCCAGGCAAGAGCAGTTTCTTGCCCAAATGGCTATCAGACTCCATAAGGAGCCTCTTCGATGCCCATCTTCCTCTTGAAGTAGATTGGTGCTGCCAGGAGCAGACGTGTCTCATTGTCATGAAAAGTCCTAAGTTATTAAAACATTATATGCCATGCTCTGTAGTCTTTGAAAGATATGAATGTCTATCTGAAATATATCTATGCACTTCTAGAAAATCAGACTAACATTACTGCAAGCTTTACTATTATCGATGATTATCCATTAACAACCTATATTTTCTAATTATACATTACATTTTTAAAATGAACTACAAAATCACAATACATCAGTGAAGATCAGAAATATATATACATATAACAAAATTGACCTTAAAATCCATACCAATGAAATTATTCATATCTATATCATTTCCCCCTTTAAATGTAAAAGACCATTTATAAACAATATTTGGGAATATGGACGTAGCTATTTCTCTCCAAACTTCTTCCTGCTGTATAGGGGCGCAGTTAATCAGGTCTTTTATGGTATAACCTGTCTGCCAGGTTCATCTCAGTCGGCAGTTGAGTGGAGTAATTTCTTGAGGGTGTTTACAGCAACCTTTTAGGAGGACGTGGTCTATCATACCATATTGGATAGAAGCAATCCACAGGGTCTCATCCTCTGTGAAAACAAAAGAAGAACCTGCTTTCCAAAGTATCATATCCTTAGATCCAAATTCAGAAGTTAAGGTATTTTTAACATATCTATCTTGGGTTAGTTCAGCAGCATTTATAAACAAATATCTTTTACCAGCTGTTGCTCCTTCCTCAGCATTCAAACAATTTAAAGAGAGCATAATAGCATACAGTATCAAGATTCTCTGTGTATTTTCCATCTTTATGTGGCTTTATTTTAACTTTTATTTATTTTATTTTTACTTTTACTTTTAGAGACAGGTTCTCTGTATATCTTTGTCCTGGAATAACTCTGTAGACAAGGCTGTCCTTGAACTCACAGAGATCCACTTGTCTCTGCCTCCCAAGTGCTGGGATTAAAGGTGTGTGCTACAACACCTTGAACTCTCAGAGATCTGTCTGTCTCTGCCTCCCAGGCATTGGGATTAAAGGTGCAAGCTACCACACCTTGAAGTCATAGAGGTCAATCTACCTCTACCCCTTGAAGTCACAGAGGTCAATATGCCTCTGCCTCCCAGGCATTGGGATTAAAGGTGTGTACCACCACACCTAACTACTCTCTTTCTTTCTTTTTTTACATTAAGAACTTTAACTTTTAGCCTGCATATATATTTTTAACACACTGTAAAATATTTAGAGGTTTTATTCCTCTTTGAATCTCTCTTTACTGTATATCTCTCTTTTTCTGACCACATGAGCATTTAAGGAGAGGACTAAAACTGTGGCTTTTACGGCTGGAATTAGCCCATTCCTTAGCTTTCCAGCCCTGTGGCTGAGATACCAACCAGAGCTGTGTTCACTGCCACAACTCTATGGCATTTCAAGGTCCTTGCTAGCAAGCAAGCCACAGCATTCTGCTCACAGACCACATTCAGTCGGACTGCCTGCCTGAAACAGTCAGAGATTGCCCTGGCAGGGCAGCCCAGAAAGTCGGCATTTTAAAACAGCGCAGCTTTTTTTTTTTTTCCTGCTACGGCTGAAAACCGAAAAGCATGCATTCAGTTTTTCACCAACACCGTTTAAGTGTTTCGTGGCAGGACCTCTTAATGAGCTACAAAGTTTTGCAGCTAAAGCTGAGTCAGGAAGCCTCTCTTAGATGAGAGCCTTGCTTGCCTCTAGCAAGTAGAGTAGACCTGAGAAATTGGTGCTACCAAGAAAACATGCTTTACTCTATTTTTTTTGCAAACTTTCTCAGGCTTTCTGTGGATGCAGTTATCCACGTTGGTGCCATCTGTAGAAAGGAGCTACGGGCAGGCCTGCTTTTCATCCCGCCCGGCTCCTGCAGTGAGTGAATGAATGAAACAAAGCCTGGCAGTGGTAGCACACTCCTTTAATCCTACCACTTGGGAGGTGGAAGTCTAATCTCTGTGAGCTGGAGGACAGCAGGGTCTACAGCGGAGAGTTCCCAGGTATCCAGGGCTGTTACACAGAGAGACCCTGTCTCAAAAAAACAAAAGAAAAAAAAAGATTTGTGATGAATTTGAATTAATGGACTAATCTTTGTATTTTTCTCCAGATTATGGATTGGATATGCCTACTTCTAGATGCGAATTTTACTGTTATCTTAATGATACCAGAAGCAAAACGACTTTTGCTTAATCTTTACAAATTTGTGAAATCTCAGGTTTGTGTTTATTTAATTCTTTTGGTTAATTATTTTATTCTGAGTGGGGTGATGTGTTTGGATGGGAGCACAGTGTGTCATTCAGAACACTGTGTTAGAGAGTAGTTCTCTTCTTGGGGCCTGTCTTGTGGCTTATCTCGAGTAATACCTTGTTTGTTTGTTTTTTAAAAAAACTAGTTAAATATTACTATAATGCATCTACCTTATCTTTAATATTTGGTTATGTCAAGATGGGAATCGGTTTGTGGTAGAGGGAATGATATATACGTAAGGCCATTGATTCATTCCAGTCCAAAAAACAAAAATGTTCCTGGAAAAGCCATTAGTAGTATGTTGTATGTAGAGTTATGGTGAAGTTACTCTGCATCTTTCTCTTCTTCAGATTTCTGTCTATTCCGAGCTCAACAAGATTGAAGTGAGCTTTCGGGAACTGCAGAGGTTGAGTCAGGACAAGAGCAGTAGAGGGCTGTACTCCATCGAAGTGCTGGAGCTCTTCTGACAGCAGCAGTTCTCCTTCGTGGACACTTCATGGAGTTCTCTCCTTTTATTTTTATTTTTTTATTTGTTTTGGTTTTTCTGGGACAGCATCTCACCATGTAGCCTGGTCCTGGAACTGGATATGTAGACCAGGTTAGCCTCAAACTCACAGAGATCCACCTGCGTCTGCCTCCCAGAGTGCTGGGATTAAAGGTTGCGCCGCCATGCCTGGCTTGATGGAATTCTTTATGTGACTCCAGCTGTCCATCCAGGGAAGAAAGCTTTGGTCGCATCCATCATCCCTCGGTGTCTAAAGAGAAGTGAGACTTCCTGGGCCATCACATCACCGCTACAGGGTTCCACAGACCAACTCTCGGCTGTAGACATCCCTGGAAGGAGATTATGGAAGTGGAAGTTTTTTAAATATGGGATTGAGCTGATTTTAAGTAAACTTATTTGTGATTTGATAAAAGTCTATAATTTCTTATCATACATTTGGAGAATAGTTTTCTGTTAATAAAAGAAACAGACCATCTCTGAAGAGTCGACCCAGAGAAAGTATTTCTCCATCAGAACCGTTCCAGCTCATCTGTTTCTGGCTGCAGAGACCATGCCACATGGAGGAGCCCTTAGGACTCCCAGCCAGCCTGGTGCCTGCTGCCTCCTGCCATGTCTCTGTCCTTCACCTGCTGCCATCCTTCTCCCTGCTCAGGGCTGGGAAATTCCCTCTTCCAGTGTCATGTCTCAGATGAGCTATATGACAAGGATATGACAAAAATTGATTTCTAGGATCTCATTCCCAAATAATGAAATTGTCTCCTAAAAACAGTTGTACTGAAGCCAGTAGAGAGCTCAGTGGGTAAAGAGGAGCGCGAGCTTTGCAGGCCCTGTCCATGTTGAGCAGGAAGGGAGAGCCAGCCTCACTGAGTTGCTCTCTGCCCTCCACATAAGCGCCAGGACCTACACACACACACACACACACACAAAACTGTAGTCCCAGCACTTAGGAACAAAAGCTTTCTATGGGTTCAAGGTCAGCTTTATCTAGTGAATTCCCAAACACCCAGAGCTACACATAGTGAGACTCAGTCTCAAACCCTCGCCTCAGTAAATAAATTTTCTTAAAAAATAGAAAATCTTGATGGGTTGATTGATGATAGGTGAGTGGTTTCCACAGTTGGATTACGACAAGTCAGTCTGATGCTAGAGCCCATGCACACAGAGCCTTGGTCGTTTGTGTTAGGAAGAGGCACAGGCGTCTGCTGTGGTGGAAACAGGTTCCCCTCGAGCCATCGCTGGTCTCTGTGAACTTAAACAGTTGTACAATGTGTCTGGAATACAACTGTTAAGGCTAAGGAAAGGTAATCCTAAATTTGAGACTGCCCTTGACTACATGGACCCCCATCAGGAAGACAAAAGTGAGGGAGAGGTCAAATTAATGCGACTGTTAAGTGTCATGTTCCCTTTATAGCATGGCAACTTGTGTTAGGCCAGCATTTTGGCTTTGTTTTGAGACAGTAACTGTAGTGCTAGCGGGCCTGGACCTCGCAATATAACTAGGCTGGCCTTGAACTCAGATTCCCCTTCCTCTACCTTGATACCCTGTGCAGGTTGTCCTTCTAACTCCACATGAACACCTGAAATGGCACTGGAATGGAAACCAGGCCTGTGGGAATTGCACTCACCAGTGAGCCTTCTCTGTCCTGGTTACAGCTAAGCCAGAAAACAAGCAGAGTTCCCAGAGGCAGTCGGTGTACAGACTCACGTTTGTTTTTCATGACTTATGGTTTAGTTTCACCTGAGGATGGCTTCTGTCATGAAAATTTACTTGTCAAGAGTCAAATGAAAGCCAGGCATGGTGGCACACGCTGTAACATAGAGGCAGGAGGACCAGGGTTTCAGGATCACTCTGGGCTGCATGTTAGCATTTTCCGAAAAAATGAACCAAATAGAAGCATGCTCCTGATACTCTGTCACTAAATCCTGATGGGAACATTAATAATTTGGTTTATAAATATTAATGGAAGCAGATTCCTAATGATTAAAGCATCCAGATTGTTTTCCTGTAGATAAGAACATGAATTAGAGAGGAAGGACCACTTGACTTTTTAATTGCCTTTAAGTACTAGTTGTGGCTGAGGCACTAGATTTAGGGATTAAGTAAGGATTTCATAAGGACGTACAGAGACAGCGACTGCTAGGCAGCTTCTCCAAAGCAAGGATCGCGCCTTCCCCTTCCACAGGCAAAGCACAGGACCGTAGCTACCGCACAGGTGTGCAGTCAGCAGCGGTCAGGCCTGGGTGGTCGCTGCCTGGTTCGCTTCTCTGTTGCTGTGGGGAGGCACGGGCCAGGGCTGGCGAGATAGCTCAGTGGTTTAAGGGCTTAGTTAGTGCTGAGCACACTTAAGGCGTGCTCTCTGCCTCCATGGGCACGAGAGCTCGAGTGCAAACACAATTGTGCGACAGAAAGTGAGCCAAAGCACAAAGACATTCTTAAAGGTGACAGTCTATCACTGAGGGAAGTTCAGGCAGGGAGCTTGGAGGGACCCATGCTGACTCATGCTTAGCTAACCTTGTGTAGGTGGGGACCACCTGCCTTGGGCGTGGTGCCATGCCTAGTGGGCTGGTCCCTCCATCAACTAATAATCAAGACAGCAACCCATAGGAACCTCCACGCTCACCTGATGTTAACAGTTCCTGGGCTCATGGGTCCTTAGAGGACCGTGGGTTCTGCCAGGCCGACAGCTAAAGCTAGCGCAGGCTGGAGCGATAACTGGGGTCTGGAGTGAATCATCCGCTCCCATGCAGACAGTGTGTTTTGTGCTCTAAACTTTCCAATCATCAGTCACATTGTTATGTTGTTTTAGTTTAGCGTAGAAAAATGGGTTGCATTGCATAGACTTATTTTTTTTAACTTTCAAGAAATTTCTTACATTTCTGTTTCTTGGTGGGAGGGTGGGGTTGAAATATGGAAGTCATGAGACCATACTAGGACTCTGTTCCAGGGATCCACCCAGGTCCTCAGACTTGCATAGTGACGGTCTGTACCAAATTGGCTGTTTCAGTGGCCTATTTTGAACTGCTTACTTTCCCTCCCCCCCCCCCCGCCACACCCCTGCTTTGCAGAGTTTCTCTGTACAGTCCTGGCTGTCCTGGAGCTCACTCTGTAAACCAGGCTGGACTCGAACTCACAGAGATCCACCAGCCTTTGCCTCCTGAGTACTTGGATAAAGGCGTGTGTCACCACCATCTGGCTGTAATCTAGGTTTTAAACTTATCTTTGGTTTTAAGTTCTGCTTTTTATTTAATTAGTTCAGATTTTCATACCCGTATTACAAGCCATGTAACACAAGCCACAAGCACCTGGAACTCAAGCTCCAATGAATCAGACATCCTCTTCCAGAAAGGCGTCAAACAGGAAGGAGCATGCTTCCACAAACATTCCTACTCTCCACACAGATACACAAAAGGATTTTGCAGCCCACGGAGTGGCACATCCTTTAATCCCAGCACTGAAGAGGCAGAGGCAGGTGGGTCAGAAGCTGAGAGCCGGAGGTGTGGCTACCCTGGGAGAATGCTTTCCTTGCTGGCCTGAAGCTCCACGTTTGATCCTAGCACTGCTATAAAGTGAATATCATGGAGCACGGCTTAGCTGCACAGTGAGTCTGAGGCCAGCCTCAGGGATACTCCATCTCAAACACTGAAAAAGGAAAGGGACTGAGACAACAAGGTAGGGGGTGGGGCTGCGTTATTCGATCTGAGTATTTACTGAGCACCTCCCAAGGACAAGTTGATCTCCGTGAGTTAGAGTCCAGCCTGGTCTACAGAGTTAGTTCCAGGACAGGCTCCAAAGCTACAGAGAAACCTGGTCTTGGAAAAAGGAAAAAAAAAAAAAAAAAGAAAGAAAAGAAAAGCAAGAGGGTAACCTCTGCCTTTTCAGCATCGGTGGTGTTTGTCCTTGAAGCCCAGTGCTAGTGATGGCATTTGCTCCCTGGGGACTCAGCTGAAGGACGTGAGACTGCCAAGCTTTAATTTGCTAATTAACCTGTGCCTTTGTTTCTGTTTTGAGACTTATCCCTCTGTATAGCCTAGGCTGGCCTCAAACTTGAAATCCTCCTACCTCAGTGTCCAAAGTGCTGGGATTACAGACGTCTAACACCATGCCTGGCTTGCAAGTTAGCCTGCCTTTAAGGAGGAGTCCTGGGGCTGGAGATGTAGCTAAATGGGAATTATTTGCCTCGCACACGTGAGGGTTTCTACTTCTCGGCTCTCTGTGCCGAACTTAAAGGGCATGCCTCTGATCTCAGCACGTGGAGGCAGGGACAGGCAGAGTTCAAGGCCAGACTGATCTACAGAATGAGTTCCAGAATAGCCAGGGCTACACAGAGAAACCCTGCCTTGGAAAAAAAAAAAAATGTAGCCGGGCGGTGATGGCACATTCTTTTAATCCGAGCACTCAGGAGGCAGAGGCAGGCAGATCTCTATGAGTTCGAGACCAGCCTGGTCTACAAAGTGAATTCCAGAACAGCAAGAGCCCAGTGCATGGGAGGTGTGGGAGGTGGAGGCAGGAGGCTTCGGATTTCAAGATCATCTTTGACTACATAGTGAGTTATAGACCCGTTAGGGCTGTTCCTCAAAGAAACAAAACTACAACTTAACAAGTAAATTAAATTGAAATCACCAGCAATCATGATGGAGCAGGTATTTTTTCTTAATGAGTTTGCAGCTTCTGGGTTGTATTAGTTCCTTTCTCTGTGACCTTGAGAACATACTCTAACAAAAGCAATGTAAGGGATAGAAGGTGTCCTTTTAGCTCATAACCTAAGGCCAGGTGTCACGGTGGGGAGGTCAGCAGGAACTCGGAGCAGATGGCCACATGGCATCCACAGTCAGGAACCAGAGACAGGCATATGCTGCTCAGCCCCCTTTCTCCATAGACCCAGAAACCCTTGTTCAGGATAACCCCACCCACAATTAAAATGGGTCTCCCTGTGTCAGCTAACTTAATCTGAGTGATCTCACACAGGCAAGCCCACAAGCCAGTCCCAGGGTGGTCCTGGGGATGATTCTAGGTCCTGTCTAGTTGACATCCATCACTTGGGAGGAGTATGCTAATGTTGTGACCCAGAGTTTGGTCACTGTCTTAATTAGGGTTTCTGAGAAGAGACCCATGACCACGGCAACTCTTATTAAGGAAAACATTTCACTGAAGTGGTGGCTTACAGTCTGAGAGGTTTAGTTCATCATCATGGCAGGGTGCATGGTGGTATGCAGGCAGACATGGTGCTGGAGAAGGCACAACTTCATGTTGATATGCAGGCAACAGGAAGTAGACTGTCTCACTAGGCATAGCTTGAGCTTATATAGGACCTCAAAGCCCACCTCCCCAAGGACACTTCCTCCAGTAAGATCACACCTCCTAATAGTGCCACTCCCTTTGGGGGGCATTTTCTTTCAAACCATCACAGTCATTTTGTGATAACTCAGATTTCCTTTTTCTGTCTTTGAAATATTATGAACCTCACATTTATACTGGAGACC